ATGAAGGATATGCCTTGTTAATGCCTCTATTAATTGGCAAATTTTTGAGATGGGAGTTCTGCTCCAATGGTACCACATGCATTTGCATAGCATTGAGTCGCATTATATGATTTCATAAAGAAGTGTATTTTGATGTGGATGAATGTATATTATTGCCTAGATTGTTGTTGATTATGAGATGAGAAGTGGTGACGTTGTTGATTTACGTTAATATATTAATTATCATGCACTTTATTATATTGTTAGATATCTCACCCCTTCTGTTTGAATGTTGCCCCTATATTGGTAACGTGCAGGTAATCGAGAGTGAAGGTTGTATACCTTCAATAGTTTGAGTCAATTTCATTGCTCTTATATATAACACTCGGGGGATGAACGTTTACTGATTTTTGATCGTTGATTTTCAGTTGTTGAATTTTAAATTGATTATTATTAAAAATGAGATGTTTCGAAGTTGCTGTTTTGCTAGAGATGTTTTTAAGAATTCCGCTGCGTAGATGAAATATTTATTTGATTAAAGATGTTATGTTGATGGTTAATCCGATGTTTGGAAAAGTGTTATATATCCACGATGAATGCAATGAATTTATTAGAAGAATTTGTGACGTTCCGATTCATTTGTATGATTGAAATTTTATAACTCTGATTTATTTTGCATAATTGCTTGGGGTAGAATTGAGGTGTTACAGGTCTCTCACATTTGAATCGGAGGGTTATTAAATAATAGAAGACTCCAAAATTTTGACCAAAAGATGATAAAAACAAGGATAAATTGTACATTATATCCAAGAGCAAAAGTAAATAGGAAAAGATGATGATGTATCATCCTACCAGAGTTAGAGTGAAGAGTATTATTGATTTAGATATGACGACGCGGATAATTCATCAGTACCTAGAAAAGAGATCGTAGCTTTTGCATATTTACCGTAACCTAGGAGGTAATGACACAAGTTTGAAAGTCGTTTTACTAAGGCTTCGAGACTAACATAGTAAGCTTATAGTGCATATTTTGTCTATTCATCACAACCTAGGGGATCAATAAAACAGAGTTGATAATCCATTGTCGCATGGAGACTTAACACGATGAATTATATCATAGAGAGACAATTAACTTATTGTTGCTTCAAGACTAACACATTGAGTTATACTGCAAGTTTCATATATTTACTATAACCTAGAGAGTAAACAATACGAGGATAGGCTTATGTATTTATCACGGCCTAGAGGATAAATAACATAAACCTGATAATTTGCATACCTACCACAACCTAGAGGATAGATAATACGAGGATAAATTCGTGCATTTATCATGACCTATAGGATAAATGACACGAGGATAGGCTTATTTATTTATCATGACCTATATGATAAATAACATAACCCTGATAATTCACAAACCTATCACAACCTAGAGGATAGATAATACGAGGATAAACTTGTGCATTTATCACGACCTAGAGGATAAATGACACGAGGATAGACTTACGTATTTATCACGACCTAGAGGATAAATAACATAGCCCCGATAATTCGCATACCTACCACAACCTAAAGGATAGATAATATGAGTTAAAATCATGTATTCTTCATGACCTAGAGGATAAATGACACGAGGATAGGCTTACGTATTTATCAGACCTATAGGATAAACAACATAACCCTGATAATTCACATACCAACTACAACTTAGAGGTTATATAATACAAGTTAAATTTATGCATTCATCACGACCTAGAGGATAAATGACACAAGGATAGGCTTACGTATTTATCACGACCTATAGGATAAATAACATAACCCTGATAATTTGCATACCTACCACAACCTAGAGAATGGATAATACGAGTTAAAATTGCACATTCATCATGACCTAGAGGATAAATGACACGAGGCAAATATATCTATACATTTATGTAAAATCTTGTCCAGTCTTTCTTTGACGCTTTCCTCCAATTTTTCCCCTAGCTTGATCTCTTTCGGATCTTCCTCTGTGACAAGGTATGGTCTCAATAGATTCTTGGTACAATTGTATATTGTCAGCCTTCTACTGTAATTCCCTTGATAATTCTTTAGAGAGTTCAAGATCTTCATTGTCTTCCTCTTCTGATTGGTTGATGGGAGCATAAAAATTATATCGGATATCAGTAGTAATATTATAAATGATTTTAGGCATGGATATGCATATTTTATCATGTTTTGGTGCAACTTAGTAAGAATACCGTTCAAAACAAATTGGGGGAACCTTACAAGCAACCCTTGTGCCTCGGGCGTGACATAGGTTCTTTTAAAAACAAGAAAAAAATACTTTAGAAAGAAAAAGATCTATGGAATCTCCACGGCTCTCCAATTCTTAAACTCTTCGTCCGGAGCGCATTCATGGATGAAGTCAGATGCTCTTTTGGTTATCATTGCTACTTGTCCACCATGCTATACTCCTTTGTTGCTGAAGGTTTCCTAGATGGGAGAAAACTGCTCTTTAATCTCTCCATGGTCAATAACTACTTTAATTTCATTCACAATCGAACCATCATGTGGAGGCATAAAATTTGTTTTGATATTAGGCTTGTCAAAAGTGATATCTTGGGAATCCAACAAATCTTGAACCTTATGTCTGAAGACCCAACATTTTTCTATGGTATGCCCCGGAGAATTGGCATGATATTCGCACCCGACATTTGCATCATACTTTGGTGGGAGTGCCCCAATTGGAGGAGCCAATGGCTTCAGCTCCACCAAAGATGCTTTGAGTAAGTGCTGCAGTGATTAACTGTGAGGTATGGGGAGAGGATCAAATTTTCTTGGAGGCCTTTCAAACCTATTCTGTTGTTGTTCTTATGGAATCACTAATGGTTGTTGTGCTCTTGGATGTGACGCCGCAACATTAATTTCTCCTTCCTTATTTTTTGAGAAGTTAGGAACATGCCTCTTTAAATTGTAAGGGGTACTGGATGATGCCCCTTGTATCTTGTCACTTTTTATACCTGCTTCAATTATTTCACCAATAGTCACCAAATCAGAAAATTCAGAAGAGACGCTTCCTACCATTTTATCATAGTATAGGCCTTGCAAAGTACCCATGAACATGTCGACCAATTCTTTCTCCATGAGCGGTGGTTGCACATGGGTTGTCATTCCTCTCCATCATTGAGCATATTCTTTGAAGGATTCATCCTTATTTTGGGATAGATTCTGAAGTTGCATACGGTTGGGAGCCATGTCCAAGTTATATTTATACTGTCTTAAGAAAGTGTTGGCAAGATCTACTTGTGTTTGGATATGAATTCACTCCAATTGCATGTACCAATCTAGAGATGCCCCACTCAAACTATCTTGGAAACAATGGATCATCAGCTTCTGATCTTGAGCATAGGCATGCATTTTTCTGCAATACATGCGTAGATGGTACCTTGGGCATGTGAGTCCCTTATACTTTTCAAAGTCAGGTACTTTGAATTTTGGAGGGATCACCACATCTGGAACTAGACCCATTTCGAGAGCATCGACGTTGAAAATATCGTAACCTTCCACAACCTTCAACCTTTCCTTAAGAGCTTTAAACTGAGTGAGTGCCATGGGATTTTCAGCAACATTAGTATAGGTAGTTGTTGCAACTGGTTTTTAAATCAGAGTTGTCACTCTTAATTTTTATCCTAAAGGAAGGGAGTATAAAGGAATAACCCTAAAGTTCAGAGATTCTAGATTTGGACTCGGTTCCAGACGAGAGGAAGATGTTAGGCACCCCTTATCTACCTTGTTTGCAAGGATACTGAGTTTAGAAGTGCTTTTTAAGAAAATAAGGTTCTAAGTTTTATTAGGGGAGAGTGTTTTAATTTTAATCAAGGGGACTCGCCACAATTTTAATCGTATGCCTACATATCCTCTTATGAAGAATCAGAGTCTCATTTCGTAGTTCGCGGTTTATTTGTGTTTTTTATAGGTTTACGTAGAATTAATTTCAAATCATCCTTGAACCCTGTCTGGTTGTAAGTTGTGTGAGCGTAGGTGTAGTTCGCAGTTAATTCGAAAGTAATTCTCCTTAATCCTTTTTCGAAAATGATCTTGAAGTTTTGATTAAGTTAGTAAAAGAAATTTTTGATGTTGGTTAGCTATGTTAAAACATAGATCGGGGGAAATCTGATATAGTCTTCTCGTTACGTGGTCAGATGTTGACCACATGTCACTCGTGGATAGAGTATTTGGTGTGTGGCATGGATTTTAATATTGAATTAATTCAATTGTGAAAATCATTTGATTTTGAATAATAAACCGATAGACGATGTGTCGATCGATTTAATTACTCAAAGATGGAAATCCTATTATTTATAGGATGATCGAATTGATTTAATTAAAAAAAGTTAACTAATTTTATAATTTCTATTTCTAGTTAAGAGAATAACTAAGTCATATTAAAAAAATAACTTAAAACCAATTAATTAGCAAAATAAATTATTTAATAAAAAGGAGAAAACTCAATTATAAAGATAATTCACCTATAATTACTCAAACAAAATCTAAATAAGCAATAAGTAATAGGCACAAAAAAAAACTAATGGATCTAAAGAGATCCACGTACCTCCATATTTTGATCTCATGAAAGTCAAAATAATAAGGTTTGACCAATTCAAAAATGTTTAAGAGGTCCAATTGTATGTTGACAAGTGGCAGCATTAAAAAACAAAATTAAAACAAATAATAACCTCAAACAACATATGATATTTGTAAAATAAAAAATAAAAACCAAAACCCATTTATCCCTCTTTTTCGTTGATTCCAAAACCTCTGCACTTTTACAAAATTAAAAACTGAAATCTTATTTTCTCACACCATGATAACAATATTTTCTCATGCATACACAAAGATAGATCAAAACTCAAACTTAAGAACCAACTTTAAAAAGGAGAAATGTTACTGAATCCTTGGGTAGCGACACGGCGGTACAACCGTGGGTGTTTGTCGGTGATCTAAGTCGAACGATAGTGGGCGGTGATTCACGGAAGAGAATGGTTGGCTGCAGGTGCTGGACTGCGGATCTGTGGTGGCTTTCACACGCCAGTGTTGGAGCGGCTGTTCTCTTCTTATTCTTCAATCTGTAAGCAATATTTTCAGGATGTGTGTTGTTGTGTAATATTGAAATTTGCCATGGTTTTTGTTGACTTCCAGAGTAATCTCTACTCTCATCTTCCTCTTACTTCTTCTGCAAAAAAAGAAAAAAAAGAAAACAAATATTTGTACAAATTTGTTAATGTCAGTTACAGCGTTGCGTTATGAGTTTGTAATTTTCTTCCTTGAGCTTGTCGATTTTGTCGTTGGCTGCCCATCACCTGTTTGACAAAAAAACTCAACCAAACTTCTTCTATTTTTCTTCCTAATTTACAGGTTATGGTGAATAATGAATATGATGTTATGATATTTGGTTAAAATGTGTTATGGATTCATGTTACATGGGGGGTTTTGAAGGTTGAAAAATTATTGTTATGTTTCTTAATGGATTTTTCCATTAAGATTGGAATTGTTAGAAAATTGCCATGATTTCTGAGTTAATTGTGGTTGTCATGAATGTATAGATCTGAAATTTACGAATGATTTTGAAATTAAAAGTTAGTAATATGTTAGTAACACCTAAGAAAGAAAAAAAATTAGTAATGATTAATAAAATAAATTCTTAGCTGAAAATAAAATTAGAATAGTTAACCAAATTAATGGTTTTCTAAGAGAATAAGTTCTTAGATGGTAAAAAAAGTTGTTGGACTACAAAATATAGACAAGGTTTTGATTTGACTCAAAAAATAAAAATGTGCAAACTGACATATCCATGTAGCGTGTAGAATTATGATTGTTAGTAAAATAAAATATGATTTTTAAAATAAAGAAATCATCGGATCATCATCATCGGGTTAAAATAACAAACCAATTAAAAAAAATAAAATTAGAGGGAGGTCTCATATGAAATCATCGGTTAAGAATAGTTATTGTCTGATATAGACAACAACCCTATAATATAAAAAAGAAAAAATAATTGTAAGAGGTTGAAAGAAAAAAAGTAAGTTTGATTTGTGAGAATTTGTGTGTGTTTTGAAAAAAATTCTGCAGGTTATGCGAGTGAAAATAAGTGATGTTACTGTAAAAAAAATTAGTGAAAATAAGAGTAAAGAAAATTAGTGTAAATTATTGAAACAAGAATATTAGAAATGTGTATATAAAAAAGAAATTAATAAATAATTTCTTTATTAAATAGAAGTTAGTAAATATTTGTTATATGATGGAATTGATAAGAAACAAAGACGAAAGAAACATGAAATATGCATAAGAAATATTGTAAGAACTAATAGATCTAATCGAGCCATCAAATCAGTGGCGGAGCCAGCGTCCGGCCAGGTAGGGCAGCTGCCCAGGCTCCGCCCGACCATGCTTCACCATCTCGCGATGGAGATCTTCTATGGCCATCTTCCGACACACCATACCGTAAACAGATACACACCGCAACACCACTCTTGCCTTTCCGGTTTCCGTTCAATCAATTATCGGTGAGCATCACCTTCCTCCGCCGATTCTTTCTTCTTCTTGCTTCTGTTTCAATTCATATCTCCTACATCATTGTTGTTGTTTTGTTATTTGTTGTTGTTGTTGTTGCAGGTTGTGGTGTTGAATTTGTTGTTTCGTGCTATGTCCACCAAGTGTTCGGTAAAATTTTTGAACGAATATTTTTCTTATTGGGCATCCTAGAATCCAATCCAGAGAGTATATCAACTTTTCTATTGGACTACTGGAAAATCTTATGTACAAAAAGTCGTAGTGTTACTGTTGAATATATATAAATATATACTGATTTTGGTTTCGATGAATGAATTTGATACATACAGGCTGGTTATCGTCACATTGATTGTGCTCAAGTCTATGGCAACGAGAAGGAGGTGATCCTTGTTTGTTTTGTCAATGGTGATGCAACTTCATGTGTGAACGAAATGAAATGACTCATTGATCTCTTCTTTTGCAGATTGGCTCTGTATTGAAGAAACTGTTTGATGATGGCGTAGTGAAACGTGAAGATTTGTGGATTACCTCGAAACTCTGGTTTGTTTGTTTATATAATATTCTCGACTTCATTAAATAACGGTCGCATAAAAGTTTTTGCAATTTCGGTTGGTTCAGATGTATAAATTAATCACAATTTGTTATTTATCATATAAACACTGAATAACAGTACCAGTATTGACAACTTCTGATACCGTTTTGTCACATCTGTTTTTGCGGTATTGCTAAATGAATTAATTAATGATGTTGGTAGAAAAAAAATTATGAATTTGTTAGTCTCTTTTTTGCTGTTCTGAACATAAGGATTTAATAAGATGATTTGCACGGCAGGAATACTGATCATGCTCCAAAAGATGTACTGCTGGCATTGGATAGGACTTTGAAAGACTTACAGATTGATTATGTTGATTTGTATCTTGTATGTTACTAATATATCAATCTATCTTTGCATATTCTCCAACTTCTTGCTTGGTTATTGTCATTATTAGTTTGTTTTGAAATTTGAACTGAAAATGTGAAATTTGAAATATCAATTTCAAAGGAACAACTTTTTATTTTAATGTTGAAATTGTGAACTTAATTAGTTAAGCAGTGCACTATTGTAATGTAGAAAAGTTTAAGGCTTCATTAATATACTGCATGATTGTTTGGAAAATGCTATGTGTTTAACTTTATGTCTTTTTCGATTCTAGCCTTTTTTGAGAAATATTGAAGTACTTGTTAAGCCATGTTTCTTGCACACTTATTGACCACAAGTATAGTTTAGTCTAGAGAAATTTAAATTTCACTTCTTGTATATGCTGCATTACCTAGGGGTTTATATCTTTTACATTCATCTTTTATTTTTAATGTTTTTCTTTAAATGCACATAGGATTTATTTAATCTGATTTCCAAATCTGGTAGTTTGATAGTGTTTATTTGGGACATGCTTGATTGAATGTTAACTGATGACTCTTCTTTTTCAGATCCACTGGCCCGCTCCGCTGAAGAAAGGATCCGTAGGTATCAAGCCTGAAAATCTTGTGCAACCAAATATTGCCAGCACATGGAAGGCAATGGAATCACTCTATGACTCTGGCAAGGCGCGAGCTATAGGTGTAAGCAATTTCTCCACCAAGAAGTTGGGGGATTTGCTGGCGGTTGCTCGTGTTCCTCCAGCTGTCAATCAAGTCGAGTGCCACCCTTCTTGGAGGCAGGACAAGCTGCAGGATTTTTGCAATTCGAAAGGTGTCCATCTCTCTGTAAGTTTCCAAATCTTGAATGATCATTATTTTGTTTCTGCATACTACATTGGCTTATTTCAAGAAGTCTTTCTGTTTATTGAAAGTTCAAACTTGAAATGAACCTTTTTATTTAATGGCTTTCTCCTATTCAAGTTTTGCTCTTTTGAATGTTTAGGGATATTCACCTTTGGGTTCCCCTGGAACCACCTGGCTTAATGAGCACGAAAGCGATGCCATATGGTTTTCCAGAGGAACTATTGAAAGGTATGGCTTGTTATCATAATTTTTTATTTGTTGATAACTTAGATTGACATATCTTGGAATCATTGTTGTTAAATAACAGTTATAGCTATTGTACTATAGTGTAGCGGAATTTGATCACATCCCTATTGTTTTTTTGTTATGCTACATGTATATATTATAAAATCCGAAATCTTACAAATTGAAGAGGTAATTGCAATTCAAGGAAATAATTCCTTTGGGATTAGCATTGTACTGTCTTGGTAGAAAATTATGAAGCCAATGAAAACTTGCCCAGGCTTCATAATTTTCCTGGCTCCGCTTATGCATCAAATTATTGTCATCATATGGCTTAAACAATAAATAACTTAAAATTAAAACAAGATAAACTAGATAAAATAGAGAGGGGGCCTCATATAGAAATTTTTGGCCAAGAATAGTTGTTGTCCGATATAGACAACAATCCTTAAATAAGCTAAGAACAAGAATTATAAGAAAAATAAAAAATAAGTTTTTGTGGATACTGCGGAAATTGTGAATGAAAATCTTAGGACAATAATAGTCTTATTTATAGAGTAAATAAGGTTAACAAAGACTTAGAGACTATGTTATCCAAAAGCCCAAAAGAAAGCCCAAAGTTTGATATTCAAAAAAGGAAAGAAAATTAGTGACAAAATATAGAAAAAAGAAAATGTTGAAAGTGTTGCACAAGATATTCAAATCCGTGACCTTACGCTTGCAAGCTTCATTCTTCACTAATTGTGCTATGTTACCGATTTGTAAATAAACTCAATTTGAAAGTATATGAAAGGTGTGCAGATATTTTCTATTTTAAAAATACAAATAATTTAAATTGAATTATATTTTTAAATAGGTTTGGAAGCGAATATTTATAAAAACCAAATAATATTATAAAAATAATGTTTAAAATATTTTTGACTTGAATTGAGAATGAACATCTATAAAAATCAAATAATATTATAAAAACAATATTTAAAATATTTTTTACTGTAGAAATAAATGGGCGGGCAAATTTGGGGTAGGTCAGTAGTTCTCTGAGGTACTTGGTTGACGTCTTCTAAGTTATGATCTCCATACTACAGGTCTATGTAATTATCCATGTTGTGTGGATTGTTGACTAGAATTTGCAAGGTATAAGATGCCCTTACCTTCGATGGAGGTGGGACAAATCCTTAAACATCAGCTTGCCTGACCTCTTGCTGAGCCACAATTGACTTTAGAGGTCTTGTCTCTGGTTCTCTTCTTGGTTGGTGACTGCTAGATGCACCAATAGTCTGGGCTACTTATTCAATGCCTTCCCTGGGAATTTGTTCTTGCCTCTCAATGATGTTCTTCAAGGCTAGAATAACTTGGCTCATGTCTCCTTTCATTGAGTCGATATTACCCTTCACTTGCTCCAAATCTTCTTTGAAAGCAGCTTGATTCTCTTCGATTTGTTCCATCACTTTCTTTTGATGAACTCTTGTTTGATATGGTGGTCGGAGAGGTGGTGCTTTTTTACCAATGATTCAACTAGAGATGATTTTTTTTGAAAAATGTGAGATTTATGTATGAATGTGTATGAATATTCTAAAAGTTTTTTTAACCTTTGTCTTATTCACGTTGGATTCCTTTATATATATTTTTTCTAGGTTTTGTTTTTTATTGGTGAGTATCTCAAAATAAATATACAATCGAGATATGGAAACAAAATACTTTTATTGAAATAACAATTATCCTCAAAAGGGATTACAATTCAGATATTGAATAATATTTGATCCAAAACACCAAAAATCAATTACTGGAAGAAATAACAAAGGAAAAAAAGAAGTCTAAGAGCGCTTGCGGATCTATGCCTTGAAGTCGTCAACCATCTTCCTACATAGCTTGAGGAAGTCTTCAACATATTTCGGGAGAGGGACCATCACATTTTCTGCATCTCTCAAACTTCTAGGGATGTCACCAATGAGATTGTTGGCTAAGAAGGCGAGTCTTGCATGCTTGTCTTTGTAGAAACGATGTTCCTTGTAGAGGTCCAGAACTATCTTATGATTATTCTTTCCTGATTTGGCGATCTTTGCATACTGCTCTTCCCAATATAATTGTTCATCCTTCATCTCTGTATAGAGTTTCCTCTGTATGAGGAAATTCTTCCGGAGGTTTTCTAACTCATGACAAACTTGCTCATATTTATCAGTCTTTTGGGCGAGAAGTCTTTATGTCCTCATCCTCTTGAGACGTTCTCCTACGTCCGATTCTTGGCTATCTTGGAGTCTCGTAGTAAGATGTTGAATTTGATGTTCTTCATCTAGAAAAGCTTGTGCCAAACTTTGAATTTGAGCCCTCAAGTTCTCTTCCATCTCCTTTTTGTCTTGTATCGCCTTTTCATACCACTTACTTAGCTTCCTGATTTCCCTAGCAGCATCCTCCAAATGTTGGTTGCAGGAATCCAAGTTGAAGGTAGCACTCAATAATCCTTCAGTCAAACGTTTTCGCTTAAGACTCTCCTTTTCAAATGCTTCATGGTCTTTCTGAATCTGTTGGTCTTTTGATTCAAGCTCGTGTTGCATCTGTCTTTTCTCTTTAGCAAGGTTATGAAGGCTAAGTTCCAATTCTTTTTTCTCATTCTGATCTTGATTCAAGGCTTTCTTAAAGTTATCTATCTCTTATAAGGATATAGGAAGAGGATCTGGGACATCTGGCTCGTACCCAAGATCAACATCAAATGGTACTTTATTAAATTTCACTCTATCCAAAATCCATTGAGTGTAGGGTTGTCTTTCCACTGTATTCTTCCTTCCAGCCTTTCTTTTGTTGACCCTTTCCCAAGCTCGGATGATCTTGTTGAGCAACTGACGGTCATTTTTGTCCATGTCGTGAATGATCAATTGCTGAAGTTGTTCATCAGAAGGTTTATCCTCCAAAGGGTATCCAAGTTGTCACAAAGCCAAAGTAGGGTTATAATTGATGCAGCCACGTAACCCAATCAACAGAACATTCGGAAAATCTCCACAACTGTAAATGATATCTCCAACGTTTATCTTCCTTGCGTACCACAACACAGAATCAATAGTAAGAGACCTTAACTTTTGAGGCCACTCGTATCTTGTCAGATTTGGAACCATGTAGTCTTCCTTATAAAGATGAGATATAAGCCAAGAATATAAGGGTGGGATTCAACAGTTCAGTGTACCCCTCCCCTTTTCATAACTAGTATGAATGGCATAGTAACCATCGACAAGTAGAGCAGGAGTTGGGTCCACATTCAAAGCTTTCGTGCCCCAAAACACACTAATAACTGTAGGATCAATAAAGTCCAAAGTCTATGAAAATAGAATTACACCAAAGACAAGTAGTCCTAAATAATCAACATAAGACTCCCATTATTTCTTATTGGCAAAAGAAAGTGCTTTAGCCTTCAAATATTGTTTTTTGATCCCTTTTACATCACCTTCTTTTTTGCAATTAAGCGAAAACTCAGGATAAGAGATCCCTAAACCTATTGATAAGTCTTTAGCATCAATAGTCTGTCCAATTCCCACATAAGCTCTTTCCTTAGAAAAATTCAAGAACCTATCAAAATTTTCCAAAGTCGGCGCTAGTTGAAATTTTTGAAAGGTGAAACACCTTAACGGAGGGTCGTAAAACTGAACCAAGGCAGAAATAAAATCAAATTGTACATCCACTTTTGTCAACTCAATGGTATCTCCATAATGGTGAACAAACATATTCATAGCTCTTTCAGAAAATTTCCCCTTGATGATTTTTATCTTCGTCATATCTGGCTTGATGGCGTTAACACGGACAAGTTGTTTCCCTTTGGCATCCATTTTTAGGATACTCACCAAAAACCTTTAATTATTATTTTTTTCTTAACCCTGTGAATAAGACAACAAAAAAATGCAAAATAATGAATATTTGAAATGCAAGATGTATGAATGCATGATGATGCAACATAGTGACGAGATTTATGAAAAGGTATCCTTAGTTGGTAGGTTCCTAGTTTTGGTATATGGATATTCTACCCTGCCCATAAGGTGACTTCCTTAAGGGTATCATGGATTACGCTAGAGGGAAAGGCATTAGGGCCTTCCTTAAGCAGAGCCTCTTTGTAGACCAAAACTTTCGTCTCCAAGGTCGTAAAAGGTCTCGCCAAGAGATTTTGGTTTAGGGTTATACAAAAAGTCATAAGTTTCATTCTGAAGTCCCACCCCCAAGAAGATACCTCTTGAGACACATTTCTTTCTTGGAATTCCATCGACTCTAGGGGAAGTCATCACAAAAACTCATATGGATGATATATACCCTTGGCCAATCGACGAACCTTCTTTCTAAGGTTTTAAAAACATTTTTTTTAGAAATTAAATCCCCCCAGCAAATAAAAATAACAATAGTAATAATATAACAATAGGTAAATAGACAAAAATAAATAAAATAAATAAATAAAGCAAATATTAAAAACACCAAAAATACAAATAAAACCCTAAACCTAATAGGAAAGCTTCTAAACCCTAAGGTTGAGTCCCCAGCAAAGTCACTAGCTGTAATAACTGGCAAAAAATATAAAGTTGCCACCATTAGTTTTTATCCTAAGGATGGAAATATAACGAAATAACCCTAATTGATGATACATAGATTCTAAGTTATTGACTCACTTTAGACAAAAGAAAGGTGTTAGGCACCCTTCATCTACCTTGTTCACTAGGATACTAGGGTTTAGGTTTAAGGTTTAGAAATAGGGTTTTAATTTTTTAGTTAGGGGAATCGCCACGGTTTTTAAGTCGTATGCCTACGTATTCTCTTATGAGGAATCAAAGTCCCAATTCGTAGTTCATAGTTGTTTGGTTAGTTTTTTTATGGGTTGTAGGAATATCTCGAATTCTCCTTGAACCAACTCTGGGTTTATGAATAGCGGAATCGTAGATGAAGTTCGCAGTCGATAAGAAATATCTATACAACCCTTTTTTAAAAATGTATAAATTTGAATTATGTTAGTAGAAAGTGAGTTAATATTTGGTTGGTTAGATGTTTTCGAGTATACGATGCAATGTGAGAAAAATAGATTTTAATGCATGAGAAAAATACTTAATGTAATTTAAAGAAAGGTTAGTATATTGAAAAGAATTTTGATTAATAATTTATTAAAAATATATGAAATATTTTTAATATTAATTCAATATTATATGTTAAAAATTTAAAAATGCAAAAAAAATAATTTAATGAAAAAATGATAAATTGATAATAAATATATAATCAAACAAATTAATTAATTAACTAACTAATTAATTATAAATATAAATTAATTGAATAAACGAGGGGGTGTACATTATTCTGGCTTAGTAATTCTACGGGGTGTGAATATCAGTGCCCAAATTCAGATATTAGATTTGACCCAGAATGCAGGGGGGTATGGATTATAACCAGATAGTAAATCTGGGAGGTCTAAATAGTAGGGGCCCAAGTTCAGAAATTGAACTTGGCCCAAATAAGCAGGGGGTGTGAGATTGGATTACCGTAGCAAATTAGAAGAAGTTGGGAGGTGTTAATACGAACGAGCCTAGGCCCAAGATAAAAATATATAGAGTCTGTTAAGCCCTGTGCACGCACGCGCATTGGCTTATCGCGGGCTAGCGAAATCATTGGTGTTTGATAATGATCGAAGGGTGGAAAAGCAAGGGTCCATGGGATCACGTGGCCAGATGTAGGCCACATGTCCCAATGGACTAAAGGACGAATGGAGTATATTTTTTTTATATTTTCTCAGCATTTCGTTTCATTTTCATTTCTAATCTCTCCATCTTCGTTTGTTCTTCTCTCTGTCTTCTCTCTTCTAACACCACAACATCAACAACTAGAAACCCTAACAACAGTGCCCTAACAGCGGTGGTGCAACCTATCCCTCAACCCCAACCTCAAATCTCAAGAAGAAAATAAAAAAAATATTTATGCTAAGTGCAATCGGGGGTACCTCTATCACGCTGAATCTCTGTGTTTTTTGATTTTCGGTATGATCTCCTCTTTCTGATATCTTCTTGGTCTTGCAGGTAACGACCGAAGGTGTTAGCAGAAGCACCGACAATTTAAAGAACTCTAGGATTTCAGATTTTGAAACCCTAAATCTACACAAATGACGACTCCTCTGAAGCTTGCAGTGGAAACGTTCTTCGAGCTACCTTCTTCTACTCCTTCTTCTTTTTGATTTTTCCTTTTCTTCCCTTAGGTTTAAAAATTAGGGGTATTTATAGGTTTAGTTTAGAGATTAATTTGTGAAATTTTGTATGATTTCCGTTACAATTGTGTAATTGATAGAATATTAGGAATTAGATTAGAAAAATTAGGGTTATAATTGATTTGTATTGGATTTGTATTTGTAAATTTAAGATTTGTTCTTGATTTTGTTTACAAATTGTTTGTAAAATTTGGACGATTTGGTGTCTGTATTCATGAATAAAACACATTTGATTTGATTTGATTATGAGATTTGCTTCAAATCTACTTTCTGGGCCTTTAAGAGCTTAACGAAGAAGAAAAAGAACAGGGACTGCCGCTGGGAAAATTAGGGTTTCTACCCTTGGTTGACTTCGGTCAACGAAGTTCCAAAAACACATAATAACGAAAAACAATAATTATAATATAATAATTATAAATAACAAAACCATAATAATGTATTTTTGTAATTGTACAAATAATTATAAAAGTAGAAATGTAATTGAAAGAAATAAAAGTTGACTTTGTCAACATGAAGCTGATGGGCCTTCAAAAGTTTCCTTAATGAGTTGTATGGAAAAAAAATGTACCCTGGGCCTTTGTACAAAAAAATGCACCCCTCTGATCTTTAATCAGGCCATAACAGCTGAAATGGGCCATTCTAAAAAAATGAAACAAAAATACACCCCCTCATATTATTATTGTAAAAGAGTCAAAAAACCTTATTGGGCCATCAAACTTTGATGGTGCTCTTGAAGTAATACTCCCATCTATTATTTAACATGGGCCTAAAAACTTAAAGAGCCATCATATTTTGATGGGCCATCCCATTCGATAAAGACACTCCCTTTTTATAATTACACCCCATCATATCTAACAAATCTGAAATAGACAAAAATAATCTAAACCTTATATTATACTTTTAAACAAAGAATATGATAACACTTTAAAATTAATGACAATAAAAAATGGTTAGAAATTAGTAGGGCAAATTTGGGGTATGACACTTGAGATACTGCATGATTCTATCATCTAATTTTAAATGGATCTCTTTAGGATAGTGCATGAACTTACTAACCATACTCATAACGTATGCAATATTGGGTCTAGTGTGAGACAAGTAAATTAATCTCCCAACTAGACATTGATACATTTATTTATCTATTGCAACATCTTCTTATGTATTACCCAATTTAAGATTTGGATCCATAGGAACTCTCGTAGGTTTACACGATGTTTTACCTATCTCTTTGAGTAAATTTGTAATATATTTTTGTTGAGGAATAATAATTCTATTTCGGGAATGTACCACCTCGATTCCCAAGAAGTACTTCAGCTTTCCAAAAGTTTTTATTTCAAACTCCTTAGCCAAAGAATAACTCAAGATTTGTTGCTTCTTCCAATCATCTCCGGTCATTATAATGTCATCCACATATACTAATATAATTGTTACTCCCCTTTACGGCGAGTGCTTGATAAACAAGGTGTGATCCCCTTGACATTTCTTGTACCCTAGAGATGTCATCACCTTAGTTAATCTTCCAAACCATGCTTGAGGTAATTATTTTAGGCCATATAACACCTTTTTTCAACATGCAGATTGTAATACAGTGGGAGAAATGACTTGGGTGTTTTTGCATTTTATCGCAAATGTTGAGGATAGCAAGAGTTGTCACCAACTTTTCTTTTATCCAATAAAGGAAAAGGTGAAAATAACAAGAAAGAGCTTTTGAGAATTTTTATTGAGTTAGGGGGTAGGTTATGAAAAGGGAAGGTGTTAACACCCTTTTCGTCTGTAGTTATCTACAGGCTCTTAATTGCTAGCCCACTTTTAAATTCTTTTGTGTTTGTGTGTTTGAAAATATTTTGAAAATGCTTAAGCTTGGTAAACTTTGCAATGATTCTCGTATCATTGAGAATGTATACAAAGAATTGGTTTTGAAAATATTTTTTGAAAAGGGAATGTTTTGAAAGATGTTTGAAATGCCAATGTAAGGCAATTTTGTAATAATTCTCGTATCGTTGATAATGTATACAAAACGTTTGTTTTTGAAGAGTGTTTTGAAAGTGTGAAGTATGGAAATGGTTTTGTTTGTGAGAAAGCAACTACGAACAATCTACCTACTCAAAAAGTATTTTTTTTCTTTTCCTCCTCCTTTAGATACTGGTTGCTTACCATTAGTTAGTAGGAAGCCATATCATTGGATGCGAGGGACAGACGTGGGTCATCGTACAGTCATAGAAGGCAACTTGTAAGATGCTTTAGCAATTGTCGTAAGGGACTAAGATCGTTTACCGAAGGAAACATTGAAGGGTCATCGAGGGACTACGATATTTTAATCGAGGGTCTTTGCTAAAACATCTCATGTTCGAGGGACATGACTGTTTAAATCTGAGGCAATAAGTGTGGGTTACCTTAGAGGTGCAGATGTGCAAAGTGTTTTGATTTCAAATACATTGTCTTTGAATTAGGGTTTTCTATGGTTTGATTTTAAGTCTTTTCATGCAAACCCTAATTACTAACAATAATAAGGAAAATGATAAATTGCAGAATTTTAAATGTCCTACGCTATTACAACGCTTTGTGAATGGAGGGTACAAGTTTGTAAATGAGGGGAGGAAAACAATAAAGCCCTAATTACTATTATAAACCATTGAATATGAATTACAATAATAATAGAATGTACAAAATGTAAAGAGGAAGAAAGTAATTATTTTTTTAGGGTTTTTGATAGAAAAAAGTTTAATCATTAATTTAATTGATTAACTTTGTATTTAAAAGAAATTAATAATCCTAAATAAAGTAAATTAAGATGAAAATTAATTTTATTAAAAAGGAAAAATAATTGAAATGTAGAAAAATTTAGGTCTAAGTTAATTAAAAGAAATTAGTTGTTGGAAAATATTTTTAAGGTTTTATTTGTTTAGAAAAATAAATGAAGTAAAAATAAAATAAAAATAATTAAAATACTTTAATCTAATTATTTAAGAAATATATATTTTTTGTATTTTTGGTTAAATAAAATAAATGAATAAATGAGTAAAATATAAAAAAATGAAGAAAATGTTGGACCTGAGTTAGAAGTAAAATAGGGGGTATGGGTAATTATTTTTGGTTAGGCCCAAAACAAACCCTTCATTTTAATCAGAAAAAAAAAGTTGTTTGTAACAAAAAAAGAAAGATAATGGGCCTTGTTGTACCCCAAAATTGACCCTATCATTTCTAAAAACATTTCCCACCAAAAGTCTCAAATGCTCAAAGGTTCTTAAGAGTTTTGATCAGACAAACTCACCTCCTAAGCATTGGCTCCAAATTAGGGTTTTGGTTTTCTCAAGGACAAATGGACTTTTGATGCTTCAAATGATTTTCATGGTTAATTATTGGTCTTCAAGATTTCTCATACCAAGTTTCAAGCCTTGCATCACAATTCTACTAAGTCAATTGCTCAGATGACTAAAAATCAATTGTATTGGGTAAAAAGTCAACGGATACACAAAAAGTCAAACTTTAACTTTTTGGTCAACATTGAATTTCAAAAGATAAAGATTTATCAAGACATTCAAAAATATCAAACTTTATCATCAAGAATCAAGAAAGTCAAGAAAAAGTCAAAGTTTTCAATACTTAAAAAATTTCTAAGTGTTTTTAACCTTGATAATTTTATTACTTCATGACAATTTTTCACCAAGATGCAAGATGATTCAAGGAAAACTTTCAAAATGAAAGTTGTAGATCTTAATGAATTCTACAAATTTGTATTAGAGGTTTTATGTCCAAAAGATGCTTAGATTTGAAGATATAGGCTCATGAAGTCATGACATTTTTGTATAAACACTTAGAGAAATTTTCAACAGGTTTGGTCAGATTTTTGTCCCAACTTCTTAGCCAATTTTCATCAAGTTCCAATTTGATTTAGCCAAAGTGATAAACATGAAAGTTGTAGACAATGTTTCAAGCTTTCCAAAACATTCAAGAGCATGAATTTATCACACTTGAGCTAGGAGATTCAAAGACATGAAGTTGGGCATCCATTCTTGAATTACAAGTCATTTTGGTGAAGAACACATAATCCAATCTACAAGCTATGCTGCATAATCTTGTTTTGCAGGCCTTCTAACTTGCAAATCTCTCCATAATTTAATGCTTATAAAAACTTTTGAGCTATGGTCCATTTGATTTAAGCATTGTCCAAATGATTTTTCCATTTTTAGCACAAAGTTAACATTGCCATTCTTGCAAAGTAGCTTTAATCACAAAGTCAACTCTTCTTGAGCCTCTAACTTGTTCCTTCTACACACACCCAACATAAAAAATTAGATAAATCATGCTTAAAGTATCCAATAACTCTATGAAGCAAAGTACAAAGTGTAACACCCTCTAAAACCCCGCATATAATTTTCGCAATTATTAAAAATTATAAACTCAGAGTACATGTAATAATCGAGGAATGCTACAATTCTCTTTTAATAAAATAAATTCCTGTCATGCATAATTTTAGTGGTAACTCGTACATGTCTACACAGCGGAATAATTTATTTAATAAAATCAAATGTTATAATAATTTCCAAGTCATCAGGGATTAACACCTGGAAAGTCAACATCATATCATAACAAATAAAAAGGGAATAAACGAGTCTGACTAAAGCAGCTCGACAACCAAACGTTCCCGGAGTTACAACTATCAGAGCATGACCCGGACATACTAAAACGAAACTAAACTAGACACGATAAGCCTTCGCCAAGCACCTGAGCGAAGCTCCTCAATCTGAAATATTCAACAGTAAGGGTGAGCTTCTCAAATATACATTTGGTTATACATTCATAACAATCAATTCACGAA